CCGCTCCTGTTGCAGCTGCTACTGCTGGTTTCTTGATCTACCCAATTGGTCAAGGAAGCTTTTCTGACGGTATGCCTGACGGAATCTCTGGTACTTTAAACTTCATGATTGTATTCCATTACAGGAGCACAGCATCCTTATGCACCCATTTCACATATTAGGTCTAGCTGGTGTATTGGCTTGGCTCCCTATTCAGCGCTATGCATGGTTCCTTGGTAACTTATATCTAGTTTGATCAGGGAAACCACAGAGAATGAATCCGCTAATTCAGGTTACAGATTCGGTCAAGAGGAAGAAACTTATAATATCATCGTAGCTCCCTTTTCATGGTTATTTTGGCCGATTGATCTTCCATACAATATGCTAGTTTCAACAACTCTCGTTCTTTACACTTCTTCCTAGCTGCTTGGCCTCTAGTAGGTATCTGGTTCACTTAGGTATTAGCACTATGCCTTTCAACTTAAATGGTTTCAATTTCAACCAATCCGTAGCGTAGTTGATAGTCAAGGTCGTGTAATTAATACCTGGGCTTAGATTCTTAACCGTGCTAATCTTGGTATGGAAGTTATGCATGAACGTGATGCTCACAACTTCCCTCTAGACCTAGCTGCTCTTGAAGTTCCATCTATCTAGACCTAGCTGCTCTTGAAGTTCCATCTATCACATGGATTAGAAAATGGCAAATTATTAAAATATCCGCGAACTTCGAGATATTTATGAAAATGTCACAAATCAGAAAATCAGATCCATGACGGTGAGCAGTAATCGAAAAATCCCTTAAATCAATAAATCCAACAGTTGGATCTTCACAAAATTTGAATATATTCGAGAGGAGACACACCTCATCACATCACACAGCCAGGATTCAAATTGGAGGTCGGTAGCTTGCTGATCAAAGATGATATTTCTAACGAATAATCTAGAAAGATCATTCTCAAAATCACGACGATTCTAAAGGTTTGAACGTCAATTTAAGCTTCTCCTATAAAGTCCAAAGTTGGGGCATTCAAATAAAACAAGAATCGAGAAAGTCAAGCTGTCAATCGTGAGTTATAGCCATTTAGTTTTTGGGGTTTCCATTCTAGGATTTCTTCCAAATTTGAGATCAATTGATCACCAATCCCTTCAAGCTTGTTCCTACAATTTCTAAGCAAGATTTCCCATAAGTTTTATGAAGGAATTAAGTGTTGAAAGGGCCTAGAATCCGTTTGATATGAATCAAGAGACATCAATCATACAATATACTTCAATGAAGATGTGAAGGAAATATTGTTGAAATTATGAAAAGATATTTCAAGTCATGCCATATTGAAAAAATGAAGTTTCATGTTATAAATTTTGGGTAGATTACAATTTTGAGTAATTTAGAGTTATTGTATTTCATTAATATATTTTAAGACTTTTTATTGACTTTAGTTACAAGTTAATTATAGTCATTAAGTATGAATGTTACCACTCTTGGAATGCCTTTAATAGTGAAAGCTTGGGAATGGTGGTCCCGAACGTCGACGACGACGAGGTAAGTAGCTATTTTAGACTTTTTCTTAAAAAATACTTGTAGGAATCACTTGAAATTCATAATGAACCTTAAACCAAGTATGAATTAAGGTAATATAAAAGAAAAACATCAATAACCGAGAGTTAAGGCCCTTAGCCAATCAAATTGCTTGAATTTAAGTAACATTCAAATAATCCACTAAATAAACTCCGCTACTATGAACTTAAATTATGAACATATTATGACATGTTAAGATTATATATGAAATTTGGTGGTCATTGGACAAGGGCAAGTAGCTAAACCAAGTAACGATGTAAATGACTATAATGCCCTAAGGGTCTTATCTTCGGTTCATGAAGTAAATGACCTCCAAGGTCTATGAAACTTTGTAACATACCCTATTTTATGATGATTGATGACATGGTAAAGTTTGAAAGCTATTGGAAAAATTTTAGAGGTTAAACCAAGAATTAGGGGATAAACCGACTAAAATGCTCTTAGGACCTTTAAGGTATTTTCAAGGTCTAAACGCCCTTCAAATAACTTGCTTCTTCTTATAAGGCCTGTGTAACGACCCGAAATTTTCTACTTAATTTAAGGTCGTTACTATATACGTACCATAAACATTGAATGCGGAAGACTTCATTTAAATTCCATAAAACATAACCTTTAACTTAAAACACAGTCATGGACTTACGTGTTTTGAAAACATCTTTAAAACGACACAACAAAAGACTCGAAATAAAATAAATAAGCGTTTAAATTTAAAACATCCTATTCTATCCTAAGTCTAAGAATATAAATGTCACTATCCTATGCATGTGCCATGATCTTGAGTTGCGATGCCGTCGTCAGCTGTACAGGAATGCCTTGCCTTAACCTGAAAAATGTAGTAGCACATGGCTTGAGTATTTCTTTAAATACTCAGTAAGTGACCCCACTATTGGGGTTAAATGCAACAATCACATGCAATGAAATGATGGGACCTATCTTTCATTTCGTTTCGTTTCGTTTCGTTTCGTTTCATTTCATTTCGTTTCGTTTCGTTTTGTTTCGTTTTTCCTACGGTGTAATCCTAACAGGTAACCGTGGACGTGTACCATATACTCTACACGCAGCCCATACGTGCGAGTATGGGCTCACCAGCTAGTTCGCACACCACTGGGCCACTGTCCCTAGCCGGTGGGCATGCTCTGGGGGCCCACCGGGACCCGTTAAAACTAAAACCGTCACGGCAGCGCTATGCCCAGCGCTATGCAAAGCATAACGATCGTTGTCCTGCCATTTGGATGTACGCGTCCGTACCCTCGTGATGGGATAGGGGTATCCCCCCAAATGCATGATCACACAATATGCATGAGGTCCCATTAGTCCTACAGTCATCATTTAATGAACATAACCCCATGTCACGTTTTCATGCTTACATGTCATTCTCATTCTCATTTCGTTACATATCATACATATTTCTAGCGGGGTTATGTATCATGCAATTTACCGTATTTCATCTCATACAATTCATTCAGTTACATTCCAATACTCATACAACAAGCCATAATCGTACAAGGGCTACACATCGTCACATGCATTCATATCACATCAACTAAGCAGCATAAATTACATACATTCACGTTCACATGATTTCGTACTTAAGCACAATAATCTAGCATACAATGTATCATATCATAACCAAGTCATAACGTAAACACTTCATAGTCATATCGTTCTCTAACTTACCATAGTCTTAATGTTCTTATACCTATCACAGACATATCATTACATGACGTACCTTAGTCATATCGTCACAAGAACGTACCCTAACGCTATTGTTCTATCAATCTATCACAAACCTATCCCTTTCTACCCATAACCTAACCGTATTCTTTCATCAATCTCTCCTATCCATAGCACTCCGGTGTGTAACCTAACTCTAACGTTTCATGAACGTATCTTACTCCTATTGTTACATTTCATTTTGTGCATCCTTCTCGTACCCTATCTCAAACATATCCTTAAGCACATCGTACCATAATTATTATCATACAAACCACATATTATAATATAACATAACATATAGGAAGCATATCGATCCACAGACAATTCACACATATCAATATATATGACACGTACAGAACCACAGGGCACGTGTCAACATCAAATATAACCATGCCGATAGTCAGGTCACTTACCTGGATAGCTTAAGTCGTTGTCACAAATATATCTTTAATGAAAGTTTGATTCCGTCCTCTGAAATCCGAGTCAACCTATATGACTTCATGACATTAGTTTCAAGTTTTATCTCTATAAAATTATTACTCTAATTTACATTGGCCGTCTTAAAATTCTGATCTTTTCTGTTGGACAAAATTTAAAGAAGCTCACTGGCCTATGATGAAAATTCCGATGTTTTCTGTTACACAAAATTGAAAGGAGCTCACTGAAGTCTGATATTTCCTTTTATTGTTAAATACTGTTTAACAAATCTTTCCTTAATCTCTCTCCCTCTCTCTCTCATCTTTTTCATTCTGTAACTGGGTTTTAAAATTGAAAGGAGCTCATTACCGTCTCATATTTCCTTTTATTGCTAAATATTGTTTAACAAATCTCAATCTCCCTCTCTCTCTCTCTCTCTAATCTTTTTCATTCTGTAAATAGGTTTTTCAATTGTGTAAACAGATATTAAGACCAATTTTAAGTACAGCCTATTATCTTTTAGTTTATAGATTTGTCACCTAAAATTTTATTGAATCTAACTTATAATATAATTGATAACGTAAACTTTTAAAAAAAACATTTAAAACAACTTTTTCTCTAGAAAACGAGGGAAAATATACACAATCTCTACAACTACTAAGGTAAGAATAATGCTAGGTACCACTCAAAGAATAAGGGACCAAGGTCCTCAAACTCAAAAACTAAAAAAACTCCTAAGACCTCTCATGGTAAAGCATGTTCATGACTCAGACTATGCTGTTTGAAAGGTATGAAGCCTTAAGCGTAGGTATTTAGACTATGCCGCTTGAAACGTAAGATCCTCCTTTATAATAATATACTATCAAAAGGGTTTCGTAGAATAATACCCTAAGGAAGGTTATATAGTCCATGTGTTTGTAGGTAAAGAGAAAAAGGTGCGGCAGTGGAGTAAGGAAAAAGACACCAAATAAAACCTAACTTAGGAATACAAGTAAAGCATATTAAACTTGAATGATTGGAAATGAAGTCACTTAGTTTGGTGCTCGAGAGGAGTCGTAGGTTTGTCAAGTCAACCCCATCTATATTCAAAGTTCACAGCTTTACTGAGTTCGAAAGTTACTAATTAATTTAATTTGGTTTAAAACCTATTTTTAATTTTTAACTTCGGTTGACTTTTGGGAAATTGATCCGGCAGCCCCATGTGAATTGTATATGAATTAAATACCAAGTAAAGTCAATGATTGAAGGGAGTAAATTAAATGTGACCATAAAAAGGAGGCAGTTCCATTGATTTGCCACAACACAAATTTGAGAAATAAATGAGAAGCTCCCAATATGCCAAAAATCAGGACGCTCCTATTCTTGTTCTTTCTCTTCCTCTCAGCCGCCGTTGAGGCAAAACCAAAGCCTAAGAAAGTTAAATGTAAAGACAAGGGATTTCCTCAATGTTACAAATCTGAGCACTATTGCCCTGCTGATTGTCTTCGAACTTGTGTTGTTGATTGTTCCTCTTGCAAACCTGTTTGTACTCCGCCACCCCCTCCGCCCCCATCTCCTCCTCCGCCGCCACCAAAACCCCGCAAGCTCAAGTCTCCACCGCCTCCTCCGTACGTTTACTCGTCACCCCCGCCTCCACCCCCATACATTTACTCGTCACCCCCGCCACCACCCCGACATGTTTACTCTTCCCCTCCGCCGCCCCCATACATTTACTCTTCCCCTCCACCGCCTCCCTTCATTTACTCTTCTCCACCTCCACCCGCTACAACGGAGCCTCCACCTCCAATTCCTCCAACTCCAACCCCTCCAACATCCCTTTCTCCACCGCCATCATCTGAGGCGTCCGGACAGAAGAAAGTTAGGTGCAAGAACAGGAGCTTTCCACATTGCTACGGGATGGAGTTGACTTGTCCAACTGATTGTCCCGGCCAATGTGAGGTTGATTGTGTTACTTGCAGCGCCGTTTGCAGTAAGTTTTCACTCGTTTTCTTTTTTAATAAGTTAACAAAGTCAAAGTTGGTTGATCAAAAATAAAAAATAAAAAAATTACTAGTATGACAACTAACTTGTTTTCGAGTAAAGGTTAGAAACCACGACTTTCCATAATAATATAATATTGTGTACATATATGTTTGGATTATCTTCTTATTTTTAATTTTTACGTACGCACAGACTGTAACCGTCCCGGAGCAGTGTGCCAAGACCCAAGATTCATTGGAGGAGATGGAATCACCTTCTACTTCCATGGAAAAAAAGACAAAGATTTCTGCATCGTCACCGACTCCAACCTCCACATCAACGCCCACTTCATCGGTAGAAGAAACGTCGACATGAAGAGGGACTTCACTTGGGTCCAATCCCTTGGCATCCTCTTTGACTCCCACCAGCTCTTCATCGGCGCTAGAAAAACCTCAACTTGGGATGACGCCAATGACCGCCTCTCCCTCTTGTTCAACAACCAAACCATTGTCCTCTCAAACCAAGAGGGCGCCACCTGGAGTAATTCAACCACGTACGAGGGGATCACAATAACTAGAACACGCAACACAAATGCAGTTGAGATCAATGTACCTGGTAACTTCAAAATCAAAGCCGTTGTGGTTCCTATAACGGAAAAGGAATCGAGGATCCACAAGTATGGAATTACACAAGAGGATTGCTTTGCCCATTTGGATTTGAGCTTCAAGTTCTATGCTTTGAGTGGGAAAGTGAATGGGGTTTTGGGGCAGACTTATGGTAGCAACTACGTGAGCAGGGCCAAGATGGGAGTAGCAATGCCTGTTTTGGGGGGCGATAAGGAGTTTGCTTCTTCAGGTCCTTTTGCTACGGATTGTGCGGTTGCACGGTTCAATGGGCAGTTGGAAGGAAAAGACAGTTCCTTGGAGGTTACAGCCTATGACAATATGAGCTGTGGCAGTGACATGGAAGGTGAAGGAGTTGTTTGCAAACGATAGGTTTGATCTCAATTGCTGGATTCTTCATCAAACCAATAAACGTTATGCTAATTATATCATAAAAAGTAATTAAGAATAAAAGTGGAAACATGAAATGTGAAACCTTCTTTATTTTTTATTTCCTAATATCAAAATGAAGCCAAACAATTTGTTTTTGTTCTTTTAACTTTCTTCTTGTAAGAGAATATAATTAATTTATATCATATTTCTTTCTCCAATACTCTTATGTTTAGCTTTGAGGGGAGGAAGGTACAATATGATTGGAATGATGGTTATAATTTTTTTTTTTTACTAACAATTATGATATGATACAGCTCATACATCATCACATACTATCATATGACACAGTTCATACATCATCATAATTCATACATTATCGCATATTAACATACGGCATCGTACGACACAGTTCATACATATCCTATAGTAGAGTTACTTACTTGGTTAGCCTTAGTGTAACTGATATGATATGGAATCAATACAAGGGGAATAAGATGCGGATTACCTTGTTGATCGAATATCTCAAGGCAAGAACACTTGATTGAGATTCGAATCACTCCACAAGCAAGATCGATCATGTCTAGCTTGAATGATTCTTGTTGATCAAATATCTCAAACACTTGTTTGAGATTCGAATCACTCCACAAGCAAGATTGATCATGTCGAGCTTGAATGATTCTACATACAACCTAAACTACATAGAGTTGCAAATAAACTTAGCCATGGGCTAAAGAAAGCACAAATGCTCCTTTTACTATATTTTTCAAGTCTGCCTTACAAATATAACATACATGGCTTTATATAGCCTCAAAATGAAACTATTAAAGTCATTACAAAAGTTGTAGCATTCACACTTTATGCCCATAATTAGCCATTATGTAAATGTAACCGAAATTAAATAAAATGTCTTAAAATACAATAACTCTAAATTATAACCCACCCAAAATTTACAACAATCGAACTTTATTCTTCTTCAATGTAGCATGAATTGAAACATCTTTTTGATAATTTTGACAACCTTTTCTTCACATATTCATTGAAGCATATTGTATGATTGATGTCTCTTGGTTCATATCAGTAACGACCCTAAATTTCCACATACTCAGAGTCGCTACTAACATCTCATGCTCATCTATAATGCGGAAATATAACTCTTACATGAACATAATTGATAACGTAAACTTCAAAAAACGTTTAAAACAACTTTTTCTCTGGAAAACACAGCCATGGTCTTACGTGTTTAAATATGAAATACTGAAATTTAGAGAAAACAAAAACAAATACAAAATAATTTAAAACAATGAAATGCAAAACAACCTATTCTAACCTAAGACTAGAAATGTAAATATGAGTCTACCCTATGCATGTGCCACAGTCTCTGCTCGCGATGACGCCGTCCTCCGTACAAGTGTACCTTGCCTTTACCTGAAAAATGATGTGGCACACGGCCTGAGTATTTCAAAGAATACTCAGTAAGTGGCCCCACTATAGGGGGCTATGCAAATCCAAACACATGCAATCGTTTAATTCTCTAAATAGTCTACTCCCATATCTAAATCGTTTAATATTTAGTAAATCGTTTAATTTTCTAAATAGTTTAATTCTGTTCAGCAGTTTATTCTATTCCCACATATTTTTGTTTGGCTTTACTATTTCCAAATCTAATTTCTTCTCCTTGCATGTATTGTTTTTATCTTCTTCTCTTTCCATGTATTTATTATTATTATTATTATTATTATTATTATTATTTGATCTGTTTTCCCAATCTTCCTCTCTCTCTTTTTTTTCTTTTTTTTTATCCTGTTTCCAAATCTTCATTTTTTTTTATTTGGATATGGATATGTTTTCCAGATCTTCTTTTCCCTATCTTCATCTCTTTTTTATCTATCTATTTTTTTTTTTCTGACCACGAACTCTGGATAGGATAGATAATTTCTAATTCAGATCATTTCAACAGATAATTTCTAAATTTTTAAGTCAGATCTAAATAATTGCTAATATCCTTCGTAAAAAGAAAAAGTAAATCTGACTACTAACCTCAAATGGCATCTCTCTTCCTTTATCTGCCTACCATCTCTCCATTATCTGCCTTCTTCTGATCTCTCCATTATTGTCTAACCATCTATCCGTCATTATTGTCTAACCATCTCTCCATCATATGCATATTTTTCCTCCATAAAATATTTTCTTTCCTTTCTTTTTTGATGAATTATTGATATAGGATGAGAGAGGTATTTTAGGGGAGGGGATGAGAGATTGAAGGAGAGGTGGACCGTTTTTTTTTTCCTTATTTTTATTTTAAGATATATATATATATATTAAACCATTTTCTCTATTTTGTTATTTTTATTCTAATACATATATATTAAACCTAACGGGGGCGTTACACTTAGTCTGAGTATTCCCTAATTTAATTAATGTAAGCTCTCGTTCCTCAAAAGCTACTTCAAAGATTATCGGGGTTCACTTCCTATCGATCGTTCGTCACCTTTTGTTAGTATTTCATATTTTAATTAATAATCCAATTAACAATATGAAATATGGCTCTAAAACGGTCTCAGTAAAAATCGAATAACATGTTTTCATTGTTTTTGAATTGTGTTGGGTAATAAAACTTGAAATAAAAATATGTCAATATTATTTCAGGTTGTTTGGTTGCTTCCATCCAAATATAGTTAGTTATAATATTATATTTAATGGGTACAAATTATAATAATTTCTGAAATCTTCTATTTTCCTTCTCTCCTCTCCACTATTATACTTTGGTTCAGTTTACAGTAATTTTGGCTCTAATTGATTCTTATTTTCTTTTCTTTCCTCTAATATATTATAGATTATCACTTTAATTAATTATAATTTTTTTTCCTTTTTAAAAATACATGGAATCATCATTTTTTTGTTTGAGTAATTCATATTTTCAACCAAATTTGATTTGATTTTCTTTTCCTTTTAATTTTAATTTTATTCCAATTTAATTCTATTATCATATTTTCTATTGATTTATTATTTCTAAATGATTTCTTTCTTCTTTTTTTTTTTTATTTGGAAATATCTGTATTTCTTTGTCTCTTATTTTTCTCTCTGTTTTCTAAATCTGGGTATTTCTCTTTTTTTCTTTTAATCTTTCTGTATTTCTTTCTCTTTTATTTTTCTCCAAATCTTGGTATTTTTAGATCTAAATATTGCAACCATTAATATCATCTGAGAAAAAAAATAAAAAATAAAAAATAAAAAATAAAAAATAAAAAATCTTACTACTAACTTTTTGGCATCTCTTATTTTTACTTAGTGTGAGAAATTCGTTGAGTATTTGAGGGGAGAGAGTGGTGTGAGTTTGACCGAAAGATGAGATTAGTTGATGTGGAGATGGCCAGTAAGATTGGGATTAACTTGTTGATAAAATATCCAAGAACATTGTTTTAAATTCGAATTACTCTACAAGTCGATTATGTCTAGCTTGAATGATTCTTGTTGATCAAATATCTCAACGCAAGAACACTTGTTTGAGATTCGACTCACTCTACAAGCAAGATTGATCATGTCGAGTTTGAATGATTCTACATGCAACCTAAGCTACGTAGAATTGTAAAGAAACTTAGTCATTAGTCATTGGCTAAAGAAAGCACGAATGCTTTTTTTTACTACATTTTCCAAGTCTACTCACAAATACAACCTATATGGCTGGCTTTATATAGCCTCAAAATTAAACTATTAAAGCATTCCAAGAGTTAATAACGTTCATACTTAATGACCATAATTAATGGTTATGTAATTGTAACCTAAAGTAAATAAAAAGTCTTAAAATACATTAATCAAATACAATAACTCTAAATTACTCTAAATTGTAATCCACCCAAAGTTTACAACATGAAACTTCATTCTTCTTCGATGTGGCATGAATTGAAATATCTTTCGATATTTCAACAATACTTTCTTCGTATCTTCATTGAAGCATATTGTATGATTGATGTCTCTTGGTTCATATCATTAGTTGTTATTATTATTATTTTTCTATTTATTTTTTTATTTTCCAATCGTGTTAGGGATATTTGTCCATTTTTTACGTCCTCGTTGTGTTATGGAATCTGATGTTTATTTATATTTTATTTAATGGATATAATAGTAAATGGCTAGGTAGGTTTGAACAATTATATATATTCTAGTTTTTGTATTCTTTGTATCCATGACAAAAATCATCCATATAAACCTCTAACAATCATAATATTTACCATCGTGGCGTTATCATAAATATTTCTCGTTGTGCTCTCTCTCTTATTCTTTGTATTTTTCATCTAGATCGAGTATTTGAATTGTGCCATCCTAACAGCTCCTATCAAAGGTAGGAGAGATTCATCACGATTTGGAAAGATGAAAACTTAAAATATTGGAACTAAAAAGTTTGATAGATCTGATTTCAATTTTTGGAATATGCAGTTTGAAGAATATTTGTATCAGAAAGATGTTCATGAACCCTTGCTCAGGGTGAAGTCGGACTCCATTACAACAAAACAATGAATGCTTAATGATCGGCAGACTCTAAGGTTGATTTAACATTGTCCAGAAATGTAGCATTCAGCATCTTCAAGGAGAAGATGAAAAATCAAAGAAGAAGCAAAACCACCAATCTTGAGGTTATAATTATCTTGTAAATAGCAAAAGATATTGGGGATGCTTTAATTTTCGGTGTGAACAATCTGATTAAATAATGAATTTAGGATTTGAAGGCATATTTTCATTAATTTTCAAGTAAGGAACTCTTCCAAAATTTTATATTTAAAAATCTTGAGAAAGTATATCTTAGTGACAACAAAGCAGTGTCGTGTAAAGTTTAGATAAGTATTAAAGCTTTTGAAAAGAAATTGGAAAGAAAATATTATGAAAAAATGGGCAAATAGTCATTTTTTCTATTTTTTTGGGTTGAAGGATTTTTAATTTCTGATAGAGAAAGAGAAAGAAGCTCAAGAATGGAAAATGGTAAGGTTTTGAAAAAATAATAACTAAAACTAGTCACAAATATTATCAATAGTTAAACTTAGTAGGTAAAAAAATATTTATTTTTACTATTTCAAAATAGACCATCTTTATTTAATCAATCAAATACT